TCTGCCCCATCACCCCTCTCCCTCCCAGAGGTGAGCTGCAAGCAGGAGGGAAGATCAGAATTAATATTTCTGTTAGTTTCAGATGTCATAAGTTAGGTAACACTGGGAATGCAAGTATCCTAGATGTATTATTTTTGGATGATGAACGGAAGCATCTCCCTCGCACTGTGGACAGCGTTTGTTGGCAAGCTGTACTCAGTCCTTGCTATCCTGCGACAAAACTGGTGGTACATAGAGGTGCAGAGCCTCTCAGGTACTGGCCACAAACCCAGTTGTCTGATGTTCAGTAGCAACTGTCCTGTAGACTTCGGGGCACTGCCGCAAGGTTGTTTGTTTTGGTGTTGCTGTTGTGCCTGTAAATAAGGAGCAGTCATCGTTCGAGGTAGAAAAGCTGAGCACTCACAACATGAAGACCCCTGCTTTCTAATTGAGGCTCCTAGATTACACGTTAGTGCAACCTTCAACACAGGACCTCGTTCATATAACAGTGCAGTCTTTGTTGTGCATTTGCCTTTACAGACTGAACTGCATCTTTTCACTACATATATCTTGTCTTTATCTGGCTCATCCTGCAGTTTTGGTTCCAAAAATAGACACTGTGCATGAATATGTACACACATGCGCTTTTCAGCTCTGTTACTGCTTTACAGATGACCTCCTTTGCAGCAGTGATAAGCTTCGTGTAAGAATATTGCTCATTCCTCTTGGTACACGCGTGAAGCCCGTAAGCAGGGAGAGGCGTGCAAGTCATACATGCAGTGTCAAAGCGTTGGTTGTAGACGTGTCCAGGTTAGAAAGACTATGGAGAGTGTTCGTGGGCACTTGGCCTTCAGTTTCAATACCTAGACATCCAAGTCATGCCAAGCGTAATTTAGCAGTAACTGCAGAAGTAGTGATGTTCTGATAGTCACAGAAGCTACACAAATGCCGCTGGCCTGAAATGAATTGAACTGAAGTGGGAAAAGGCACACACAGCCCAGGCGTCCCACACCTTCAGTTGCGCTGGGAAAAATCAGAGCTCGTACTTGGACCCTCCGGGGAAACACATGCATGAACGGGGAAGGATCAAGATTAATATTTCTGCTGCTTTCAGGTATGAGCAGTAAGATGACACAAGGCTGGCAAACGTTTCGCAGTGATGCCCAGGTGCACACACCAGACACACTGTCAGGGCGCAGGGACTGGAATCTCCTGCTGTATCCTGCAGCATTAAAACTTCGTGAATAACCCTGTGTTTCATAACTATTGATCCTTGACCTGTGCTCAAAAAGAATGAAGCACTCTGTTTCACGTGCAGCGTCTGGCAGAACCGTGAATTTTACAGGGAGTCGCTCCGTGTTAGTCAGCAGAGTTGGGTGGTTGGCAGAAGCTGTTTTGGTCCCCAGTGTAGCAGAGTCTTTGAAAGAGTCATGGGAGGGGGTTTTTGCGGGGGCATCCAAGCTGCCCACACGGCCTGTTGTCAGTGACACAGGGAATTTTGAGAAATTGTAAGAAGGAATTCCAAGTCTCTGCCTTTATAATTTAGTGAACTCATCAATATTTAGACTAGGAAAATATGGAACCAAGTTCATTCAGAAGTACAGTTCTTAATTGCTGTTAGTAACCTCTGGAAGATATTTGTTATCTGCAACTCCAGATCTTGCAGTGCTCGTCATTTGGTAAAACTCTGGAAACTGCTGTACACAGACGGAGTTTAAACAATACCTGGAGGGCAAGGACAGATTTTTTCCTGGTCTATCCACATTAAACTTCTTTGGCAGCAGGTGAAAGAAGATGTCCTTGCTCTTACGTATTGGGACTCCTGGCAATCCTCGGTGCCGAGTGTCTGCACCAGAAAATCGTGTTAGCTGGTTGCCACTCTGCTGATTGTAGGTACAGGTACGTGGTGTCATCGTCTCTGCCTGCTGTGGCTGCAGACTTCAAGGTTTGGAAACATGATTACAGGGTAACTGCTGTAAGGCAAAATTTTCAGGAAGCCTGAGGTTTAAAAACACTGACTCCTTTTCTGGGGATGCCGAGTCAAATGCCGGTGGTACTTCAAAATGCCAGTTTGTGAACTTATCCAGTGCTTATTGAAGCTGTAAGAAAAGAGAGAAGCCTCAGGGGGTCTGGCCTTTGAGTATAAGGGCTGTATTTTAGCATGTGCCTTGGAGGAGGCAGATGAGTTGGAGAGAAACCTGTAGATTCCTCCAGATGGGACTGTGGCTGTGGGACTGCAAGGCAGGTCTCTGTAGTGGCTTTTTAGTGTCTTCTCCAAGTGTCTAGCCTGTTGCCTCCTGCACTTTCCTGTGAGCTTAACCTGAGTTGTACCTGTTCTCTAGCTTGTTGCTGGGTGCGTGTCTCTGGAGCGGGTGGCCTTGGATGGTGCCTCTGGAGGATTTCCTTTCTGCACCTCTGCTGGTGGTGACCAGACCTGACCCTCTGGCACTGGCCTTCCATGCACACATAGCCTGTCTCTCCTCTCCTTGTCCTCAGCCTCCTTGCCACAGTTTGATTTTACTTGGATTTCGCCTTGTATAAGTTCTGTTTGTCTTTTGGCTGTTACCTTCCGGTCTCCTGCCACCCCTTTTTTTGGGGTGCCCCAAAGCACTCAGTGGGCTCTGAAATCATGTTCACTTACAAGACTGCTTGCTTCAGGCCAGTGACGTAGCACAGCAACGTCATAGCATCTCTCAGGAGGGTGTGTATGTAGCTGTGCTGTTCAGCCCCCATGATCTTTTGCTTCTTCAACACTAATGCAACAAAAAGTGCAACAAAGCAGCTTCCCGTTGTGATCAGGGGTATTATTCAGTCACTGTGACTTCATGCTGTGAAAAATGTGGTTTAAGCTATCCCAGACTTTCTTCCTATTCGTCTTTGAATTAGACTAGCTGGTATTGTTCAGCAAGGCATGCCTGTCCCACCCCTCCTCATTCCCCGTGCTTATAGTAGAAGCTGGATCTGCTTTAAGGTCATGTTAAAACGCTGTGCTCCTGCCCAAGACCCATCCTGGGGTTCTCTGCCCAGTGTAATGCTGCTTTTTTTTTTTTTTTTTTAAACAATTCTTTTTAAGGAAAATGCAAAAAACGAGGAGATGGCTTGAAACTAGAAAATGACCCTCAGGAGGTGAGTGACCTTGAATGCAGATGTCTGCCTCTTACTTAGCAGGAGGCCTCTAGTCCACCTTTGGTCCATGGAGAGTAAGTTCTGTATTTGTTTCTGCTTTAAGGCTGGCCTGGCAGGCGGATGAGGGGCAATGTGGTCCCTGATACTCTTCACTCTTCTGCCTGTGTGTTTTGTCCCTGTTCCTGCCCTCACCACAACTTTCCTGCTTGTTTCCATTCTGCTTTTTGGGAATGACTGCACCATAGATATTTACTCAGTAGCTTTGTACCTATCTGTGCCTTGTCAGCGGCAGGAGATCCTTTTGTAATGGACTTCTTGTGAGGCCTGAAGAAGTCACTTGATGCTCTCTGGCTGCTCCTTAAAACTGGGCTAACAATTACCTTTTAACACCCTTTGAAATATAGAGGAGGAAGGGGCAATAGAAGTGCTATCTAGTGCATAAAAGTGAGCAGAGTGGCTTCCTCAAGGCTCTTCCATGAATGTGTCTCCTTCGGATCTTCTGTAGAAAACAAGTGCTGTATGACAGACCATGCTACCACGTTCCCCAAACCGCATATGGGCTGCCAGACAACTTCCATGATATCTCTTTCAAAAGATGTATGATTTTATCCTCAGGAAAAATTCACTTTAAAGGCACTTGATCCCATGATCTCTGGTGCAGCTCCTAAAGAGCTTTTTTGCTCCTGCTCATGTGTCAGTGCCCTTCGGGGCTCAGTGCACGGGCAGTGTCCTGGTACCCGCTCAATAACCGCTTTGTTGAAGCTGGTGGGAAAGGCAACATCACCGATACCAGAGAGCTGAGCCCTCACTTCTGGGGATGGGTCAGGGCAGTGAAAAGTTCCCTGTTTCACCAGGGTGCCAGTCCTGCTCAATCTGTGCAGTCAGATTAGGGGAATTTTCTTTAAAAATATTCTCCTATGGGAAAAAGCCTCCACGAGAACAGGTATCGCAGCTGCTTCTTCCTTCACAATCGTGGGTGAGTTTTCCGCTCCTGGGAAACGAGCAAGAATTGTTCCATAGGCACTAAATTGGAAGCCTTGGAATTGTGATGAGTGCTGTGCTTTGCAGTGTGCAGAGTCCAAATGATGCAAAACAAATCAGGTACTAATAAATACTTTCAACCCTGCGTGGGAGAAACTCAATAGAAACTGCATCCTGGCTTTCTACACGAGAAGCATTAGAAGTACAGTCAGTATTTGGATTGTCAAGGAGATGGAATGGGAGCTGTGTCCTCTGTCCTGTAGCTTACGGGGAGTTATCTGGTCAACACAGGAGCTGAGGGCACAGGGGAAAGAGGAGGGGGTGGGTTTCAGCATTTGCTGTCAGACAGTTTTTTCCAGAGCCTGTCAGGTGCTTCACAGCCTGTTCCTGGGGGCAATGGAAGCTGTGAACCACCAGGTATCTTGCTTAAATGATGATGGTGTGAAATCCACAGATATTTCTTACAGTGGCTGTCACTTTAGAAAGTTTGCCTGTTTAGCACTGTGTCAGTTGTGTTCTGTGCAAGCCTGAAGTTGAATCAAGTTATTTACTGCGTCTTTTGCCTTTATTTCCTCAGGCAGAGTCAGAAATGGCTCTGGATGCAGAGTTCCTGGATGTCTATAAAAACTGCAATGGCGTAGTGATGATGTTTGACATCACCAAGCAGTGGTAAGACATCTTCAGCAGCATGCACCACGTCATTCTCGCTTGTTTAGTGAAAGCAAATGACTTCTAGACTTCTTGATTCCCAGATGGACTCTGGAGCTGATAACCAGCCTAATGAGTTGAAGCAAGCTTGTATCCCATAAAATAATAGCTTTATCTTCTGACGTGTCTTTTATTATACTCCTCTCCTGGGCCTGTTTCAAACAAGCAGGCTCCCTGTGGGCTCGTGTGCTGTGGTTTCTGATCTGCTGCTGTCTCAGGCTTGATAATTAGTGCTATCACAGGTGCAGAGGATGCTGGGCATGTTACAAACCCGTGACGACAGAGCACAAGGGGAACGGGGATGCTAGTGAGAAATTCCCAGGAAGACTGGTATTAGTAAGGATTATTTAGAGACCCTAGGCTGCATTAACATACAGAAGTACTGAGCTGTTTGTTTTGCACATTCTGCCCTATGGGAGCCAGAGAGGAAAGAGGAGGTGATCAGAGTTCCTGCTTTACAGAGGCACAGAGTGGTTTGGGTTGGAAGGGCCCTCAAAGATCATCCAGTTCCAACCCCCCTGCCATGGGCACAGACACCTTCCACTACACCAGGTTGCTCAAAGCAATTTATATTTAAGCTTGTGGTTTACAGGTGTCATATGGGTCAGCGAGTCCGTTGACAGCTGAAGGAGGGAATCCTTTTCTTCTGCTGACCCTACCCATTTTTGTGGGACTGAGGGAAATACTGCTGTAGGAGATGTGAGGTTGCTGGTGGCAGTGGATTATTGAACTTGTCAAATCATTTCTGCATAAAGAATGATACAAACATGTTTACAGTTAATGTATTTCTGTGGGGCAGGCAAAGAAGCCACAGTCTTGGAAGGATTTCGGAAAAAAAATGTCTTTAGTTTTTTTTCTGTTATTTGTGCATCAAACTACTTGCAAAATGATGTTTCCCACTTACCTACCTGTATCTCTCTCTCCTATGGTAAAGGACGTTTAACTATATTCTGAGGGAGCTTCCAAAAGTGCCGACCCACGTTCCAGTGTGTGTGCTTGGGAATTACCGAGACATGGGCGAGCACCGGGTCATTCTGCCTGGCGATGTGCGGGACCTCATCGACAACCTAAACAGGTAAGATGGCACCACGGTCGCCAGGCAGGACCTCAGCTGCTCTCTGTCATCTCCCATAGGTGACGGTATTGCTGCTGCGTTTCAGATGTCCACGGCGTTCATCCTTGGCCCCCGTGCCCAGCTTTTGGGCTTTCGTAGCTCTGAGTGTCTCCTACAGCAGCATCAGTTTACACGACAGACTGTTTTTCATTTGATCTAGGAGCCCGTACTGGGCAGGTTGTTACCTGTATTCCTGGGAACAGTGAGTGCCTGCCCGCATGTGCCTTTGGAAGAGCTTTTCCCAAGAAGTCATCTTCTTTCTGGATGGTCATTCTCTTGTGAAAGAATCCTCTCCCTGCAGCGTAACTGTTCTCTACTCCAAATAATTCTGCTACCTACTAACCACCCCCCTTCTAATGCATCCTGGGGTGTATTAGAAGGGGGGCGGTGAGTAGGTCGAGAGAGGTTCTCCTCCCCCTCTACTCTGCCCTGGTGAGGCCGCAGCTGGAATATTGTGTCCAGTTCTGGGCCCCTCAGTTCAAGAAGGACAAGGAACTGCTGGAGAGAGTCCAGCGCAGGGCCACAAAGATGATGAAGGGAGTGGAGCATCTCCCTTCTGAGGAAAGGCCGAGGGAGCTGGGGCTCTTTAGCTTGGAGAAGAGGAGACTGAGGGGGGACCTCATTAATGTTTATAAATATGGAAAGGGTGACTGTCATGAGGATGGAGCCAGGCTCTTCTCACTGGCATCCAATGACAGGACAAGGGGAAACGGATCTAAGCTGGAACAGAGGAGGTTCCGCTTAAACATGAGGAAGAACTTCCCAGTAAGGGGAACAGAGCACTGGAACAGGCTGCCCAGAGAGGCTGTGGAGTCTCCTTCTCTGGAGATGTTCCAAACCCGCCTGAACACGTTCCGGTGTGATCTGATCTAGGTGGTCCTGCTCCGGCAGCAGGATTGGACTAGATGAGCCTTTGAGGTCCCTTCCAACCCCTGGCATTCTGGGATTCTGTGAAGAGAGCCAGGTAGTGCAACTGTCTTCCGTGCCCTTCCTCTGAGAGCGTCCCCACACAGCACTTACTGAGCACAGCCAGGTCATAGGCTTCCTTTGCCAGCTGGGCAAGGTTTTCCCTTGTGCAGAGATCTGAGGCTCTCTGTTATTTAGTACAAAATATTATTTATTGTTCAGAATTCAATAGATTGTACCTTTTTGTGTGGTTTTATGTTTTTAAGGCATTTTTTCATCCTCTTAGTCTGGTTTTTGTTTGTGCCTGTGTCAGGCACACAGAAATGGTTTTGGTTTTAAGGCTTGATTCTGTAACATAATCATTTCTTTACAAGTTCATGTCTATACCTGACTTGTCAGCAGTGAGCATTACACTTAGCTGCTTGTCACGTCATGTGGGTCTGTTTGTGATTTTTAAAACAAAACCTTCACTGAGAAATCAACAGCTTGTACAGCTGTGAAACCCCCAGTTTAATAACCCAGTGGCCCGGTGTGCTGATGTGGTATCTCTTGGTCTGGCAGCCCCATGACACTGCAACACAGCAGCAGCAGCGTTCGGGAGGCACAAAGTGTGGATTTTGTCTGCCAGCAAAATCACGAGTCCCGAGCAGAATGACCTGCTAGCCTACATCTGGGGGCCGAGGGGTGGCTTGTGAATGAGGATTTCAGCAAGTGCCTCTTCTTCGTGCGTGCAGTCCTTGTCCTTTGTACAGTTTTCTTCTCTCTGCCCATCTGGTTGAGACAGGCCTCCCGGCTCCTCGTATTTTCGCTATGCTGAGTCTTCCATGAAGAACAGCTTTGGCCTCAAGTACCTGCACAAATTCTTCAACATCCCCTTCTTGCAGCTGCAGGTAAGACAGAAGTATTTCTCTGGTTTCCAGGGGGGTGGGACAGATTGCTCTGTCTCTGAGCCAGGAATTTGGTATTAAATTGGTATTAAAGGATCCTGAGCAGATTTTTGTTTTCATAATAGTTGTTAACAAAATTACATTAGTACATCGGTGCCTGTGACTTAAACATGTCTCTGCTTGCGGGAGGACTCTTCTCTGCTGTGTTTGCCAGTGCTTGGAGAAAGGCTCCGAGGTGGTGAGTGACACTGACAAGTAAATCACATCCAACGGTGTAGTTACCAAGTCAAAAATATTACATACACACATTTTTTAAACTTTGTATTTATATTCTGTTCAATTAAAACTCAGATGAGAAGAGATTTGGTCATGAACTGAGCAGTTCAGGGACAACTCTTTGCTGAAGATCTTTGCCCTAACGGTAACTGATCTGCTCGGATCCTGCGCACATAAATCCAAGTCTCATATTTCCTTTGTAATTGAGGCTTCTTGGGTGGACTGAGCGGAAAGGCAAAGGCTGAATGGGCACAGAAGGGTGGAATTCTCAGCTGTGGTCCTTTAGAAGAGGACCTTTGGGGTGATCATACAGGATCCTTTGGGATCAACATCATACGCTTTTTAGGGTACATGTGATGTTGTATCATTGTTCTCTTTTGGATGGGAAAAAGCAGACAGTTGATCTTTATTATCTTCCACCAGTAGTTGAAATGTCTGTGTGTATTTTTATACAAATAATCCCCACTGAAATGCTAGTTCAGAAGAAGCTTGGATATAATAGTGGATGTTACCATGTCGTCAGGTTACAGAGCAGAAAGGACCAGGATAAGAAAATGGAATGTATGAAAATCCAGTGAAACAAATCAAACAATAAATTTTGAGGAGGAAGTTGTAGAAACCTGAAATATAAACCCAGCTTGCTGCTCAGTAGAGAAGATTGAAATCTACCAGCATGGTTAAATGTTTGGTTGAATGGTTGGTTTTATAACCTTGGCTCCTATGGGAAGGTCATGTCTGGTGGAAACCATGCAGAATAATTATCGGTTTTGTAGATCTCTTCGTTTTTTCTCAAATAGATGTTGAAAAGAGACAGACATTAGCACAGCCTTCCTGCCAGATTTGTTTCTGAAAGCTGCTCATGATGATACTGCTACTAATCAGTAGATGTGATGATTTTCCTAGCTGTAGTTATAAGCAGGAAGTACCGAAGCATTTGCAGTATTGTGGTTCGCTTGGAAGCAGCTTTAGGATGCGAGTCTGAGGGGACCTTTCATTTAAATGTGCTGTGTGTAAGTAAACATGATCTATTAGTTTGTGACTGAAAGTAATTAGGACACTTAGATAAAGTAATTAGGACACTTAGATAAAGTAATTGGCCCCAAAGCCTGAGAACTTCTTGGACAAATCTTGGTCTTCAGGGAAATAGAAAAAATAAATCTGATATAACCTTTAGCTCTTTGGAGAGTCCCGTGACAGTTGCTTAGGAGAGGGGAGGGAGATGGGATAACCAGCCACATTTACTCTCCTGTGTGGTGGGCTCGGGGTAGCACTGGGGATAGTCCAAAAGATGCAGGTGCCACATAATTAGACTCCAAATCCTGTGTTTTTCATGTAATGTGACTAAATAATTCAACACTGCAGAAACAAGCCTGGAAAGACTTCTCATGACAGTTTAGTTCCCAAAATGTGCACGGGAGATTGGGGTGGGCACATGTAAACCATGCTTGCAAATGTTTGCTCTGTTCTTTGTACCTCGATGCAGAAGGTGGCAGTTGAGGAGGAGGTTGTCCTATGCCTGTTACTCAAAGAGACAGCGATCAGGCCATAGCTGCCTGGCTTTTCCTTTAAAATAGCAATGCCAAAGCTAATTCCTGCAGGTTTGTGCTCGTACAAGGATTGCTTTTCTTTGCATTCTGAAAAAAATCACAGCGTAGGATCCAGCGTGGAGAGGGCTTGTTTCATTTCCCTCTGGCGTGCAGGAGATCCCTGGCCTCGCCATTCAGTGCCGGGGCAGGTGACACTGCAAATTTGGACCCCTGCGGTTGCTTCCTCCAGGCTTTGGGGCTTTCTTTGATGTCCTACCTCAGCCAAGACGTGAAAATACATTGTCAATAGTATATTGCACGTGGAGACTGAACCAAGTGCTGCACTTGGTTTTTCCAGTGTCTCTTGCATTTGTGCCACAGGCGTGTTAGAAGCAGCCTCGCGCTGCTCCGCAGGAGCTGCTGCTGGGTGGCTCTGGGTGTTGTGCTGCTCCTGGAGACTCACTGGGAGATTCGCCTTTGAGTGCTCGGGGAGCCAGGGCTGGCCCCGCTGGGCCTGATCAACAACCAGTGCAGAACCTAAAGGTTCTGCTTATGCCTTCAGAGAGACTTGCGAGGAGCAGGCTCTAGGAAGGACTCACCTCCCTGGTACTCCGGTGCGAAGCAGGGTTAAAGGAGAGGAATGCCACCAGGTGTTAAGTATGATTTAACCAGCCTCAGTGGACTGGTGAGGTTTCTCCGTGCCCCTCAGCCTAGGCTCCGGCGGCTCCCGGGGGGAAGAGGGGCTGCTCAGCTGTATGCGAGACTGCACGCCGTCCTGCAGCGGAGTCGGTGCTCAGTGCGTGGGTTTGGAGTTGCACGTTTCTGTGTTCAGCTCACATTCCTGCATTTTTCATGAAGAAAGCGGCGGCTGAAATTCATACCCCCGGCGCAGAGCACGTTCCCTCTAGCAGCCCGAGCTCTTCAATTATTCATCAGTTCCCTTCCAGGGGAAGGGTTGTCCAACCTGAGAGCGCAGTTTAGCCGTCGGTGTGGCTGGTGGCCCACATAATGTGCAAACGTGGTCAGGTCAGCCGGGCCTTCGGATGCGGTGCTGGAAGGAGACAGAATTCTGCAGACAGCTGAAATTGCCTTTTCCCAGGAAGCACTTGAAAGTGGCATTCAGCCAAAGCGTTGCTCTGTAGCACATGATTTATTCCGTTCTTTTGGGTCATTGCTAAAAATGAGCTGTTTCTTTAATATTTTAATACCACCATCGTAAAATAGAAGTTATTTTTTAAGTATTTGGAAGTCCGTTATTAGTGATGAATTTTTCCAAAATTAAATGCAACTCTCTATTAATTAAATCTGAATTCTTAATTTACTGTAATCTGTGAAAATTGAAATAAATACACCTCCGGTATATGTCTTACTGCCAAAGCATGAGGAAAGGCAAACCACTCGTTTAATAAAATCCATCATCTAAGTGCCCGAGGTAAGCGTTGGAGAGCAGTGTCCCTTCCGCCTCTGTTTATTCAGCTAATTTGCTCAGCATTTATTTCACTCTTCTTGGGAAACTGAGGTCAAAGAAGCACAAAACTCGCTCCGTCTCATTTTTGCCTACCCTGTATGAATAACATAAAAGGATCAAATTATTACTTCTAAAATCTGGAATTTCTTGAATCTTGAGTTCTAAAATCTGGAATTACTTCTAAAATCTTGATTGGTACTTCTGTTTAGTGTAGCAAGTTTAAGTATGTGTAGCATGTTTTGCAGAAACTTTCTTGTCTATGTACCTGCAGTAAAGGGAATTCGAGTTGACTAATGACTCCGTAATTCTTTGTATACGTGTTAATTGAAGTCAAGTTTCCATCTGCATAGACCTTATGAATAAAAATTACCTAGCTAAGGAAATATGGATCACTCCAAGCTTTTAACACAATGAAAAAGGTGAAAATAAAGAATCTGAACACATTGGAAGCAGTAAATTAGCTTTAATGATCATAGAAGCTCTTAAATTCCAAGAAAGACTGTGTCTTCCAGTAAATTAGCATGTTTAAATGTTAACAACCACTATGAATGGTCTTATAATACAAAACAAAGATTACTTAAGCCTTGCTTGCTGATTTAAGTCGTGGCAGAATTTGGTATAAACCAGCTTGCTCTGTGGAGGGCTCGGGCTGTGCCCTGACTAATCCCTGGGCACAGTCGTGCGGTGTGTTTGATGCAGGGCAGCCGAGTTACTTGCTGTTTTAATTTGCACACTTGCTTGATAGCTCCAAAGTTGTCATGTCTATGAAAATACATTGTCAATAGTATATTGCACGTGGAGACTGAACGCCATTGCTTTATACAAATGTTTGTCTTGCCTATACAAATAGGGATTTTATTCTGTCAATTATGTAGTAGATTTCCTTTTGTGCTTTTTGCTTTAATGGGTCTTCTGCAGTGAGCATATGTGTTGTCAAACATGAAATTAAAAATTCACCACGGTCATTGACGCTGAAATTCAAAAACATTTGTCACAGTAGAAACTTTAAACGTGCCTTGAGGATAAGGCAGTTATAAAAGCAAAAACCTTTGCAGTTTGGAGGAAACCTGAGGTTTCTCTTCTGTCTCCTCCTGTCTGGGCGGTGGTGCAGCTGGGCACCCGTGGCGCCGGCAGACCCTGCGTTACTGGGCACTGAGCAGTGCCCCCAGTCGTCGGACGTGTCTGAGCACAAGCTGTCCCTGCCTCCTGTGCCATCCAGTACGGAGGCCGCGCGAGGGGGAGGACTGACGCTTCCAGGCGCTGAACATCCTTTTTGACTCCAGAATTCGATGTGTAAACTTGACTCGCGTGGCCCTTGCTCGGAGCCTTCCCAGGAGGCAGGCAGGGTGCTGGTGGTGGGAGCTTGGCCACTGCCAGTGCCCAGCTGGTGACCACGGGCTGCATCTGAGCGGAGGGGAAGGGGCTCTGGTGCAGGGATTGTCCCATGGAGCAGAACGGTGGCCACAGACAGCTCTAGTCTTGGCCAGAAAGTCCTGAATCGTGTTTCTGCAGAAACAGATGTGGGGTTAGCTCTGCTGGGTCTGCCGGGCGCATGGGTGAGGAGGCTGGTGCTGGATCCAGTGTGGGTGAGCCCTTGGAGCTGGCCGTGCCCGCACGGTCTCAGCATAACGCGTGTGGTTGTTGATCTCTTCTCGTTGCCATCTGGGCTATCAGAAAAGATTGTCCCATGACCGTTTGCAACTGATTTGGAGCCTTTTAAGCCAGCACTTCCCCTCAGCTGAGGTTTTTGCTTGGATTCTGTTGGAAATGTGGAAGGGGGGGGGATTGGATTAAGCCACCCCGTGTTAACGTTAGTGAAGCCAACTCGCCTTATTGCACACTTGAAATGGACTGGAGTGTCTGTCCCCCATCTGCAGGGCAGCAACTGAAGGCAGAGGGGCAGCGACTTCTAAAATTTCACCAAGTCGATGGGTTGTGCTCACTCATCTGCCTTGACAGGAAAAAGAAAATTGTTGTGAGGTTCTGCATCAGCTGGGTCCTACTCACAAGGCAACCTCTTTAGCACAGGGCAAAAATAAAAGGTCCGAATGAATGGGCTGTACAGCTGTTCTCCACAGGAGCTGGTGCTGTTCTCCAAAGGCAGTTGGCGATGCTGTGTCTGAAAATCACACGTTATTGGTTTACAGCTGAGCACAGCTCGCAGAAGTTACTTTCTTACACACAGACTTTCTGAATTAACGTACTGTTGCTTCTGCTTCCCTCTGCGCTTCGGTATTTAAACTGACGAGCGTGAGAGGGACCGAAGCTCCTGTTTAATTCCTTGCTGTGGGTAGAGTGGTGACACAAGATCTTGCTGCACCCTGTGAGCACACAGAGATCTCTTACAATGACCCTTCCTGCTCAGACCCAGCTTGTTTTCCTTTCTTCAGAGGGAGACGTTGCTACGGCAGCTGGAGACGAATCAGCTGGATATTGATGCGACTTTGGAGGAGCTGTCAGTGCAGCAAGAGACAGAAGATCAAAACTACGAACTGTATGTCACTGAGCCATCTTTTCTAACTGTTTTGTTGCAGTCGAGGTGTCACATGAATGTTGGGCAGCCCCAGCTATGGCACGTGGACAGACTGAAGGGTCCCGTGAGTGACATTTAGGGTTTCTTTGGATCTTGTAAAATGTCACTTTTAAGTGGCATCACCTGAACTAAAGCATGCACTTGGGGATCCCTCTGAAAGGGTCTGGTTCCTGCAGGCACGTGATCTAGGGGAGGACAGCGGAGGTGGAGCTGAGCAGCACATGCTGAAGGGGTTGTTGATAAGTATGTTGCAGCCTCTGATGCCGAAAGAGGATATTTTCCATCTGTACTGCTCAGCACACAAGTTGGTTCCTCTTCTGCTGGCTATTGCATTCCTGTGTATTGTGTGTCTTCTGATAGGCAGAAAGGAGTAGCAACAACACTGCTGTCTTTTGTTCCCTTTGAATACTTGTAGACTCCTCAGTGCGTTTCTGGTTTGAAATAGTGGCTGGTTCCTGCTGCCTGGTGTTTGTTCAGTGCCCTGTCTGTTTGCTTGCTGCTGGAAATGAGCGTTTGCCAGATTTAGCCCTGCAAGGCCAGTACATCTGTACACAGTGAACAGGAATCTCTTCAGAGATACGTTCTGCATGTTGTTGACAAATGTGTTCCGTGAATTCCCATTGCAAGGTCTTTATTGCAGTGATGTGCAAGCCAAAAAGTCAACCCCAGAATGAATTGGAAAAAGATTCTTTACAGGCAGCTTTATTTGGAAGCTGGTATCGATAATTATGAAATATTCATGCACAGCCATTTTCACAAGCGTTTTTCAGACCGAATTTCAAGTTCTGTAACCTTGGTCGGTATGTTCTCCTTCGTGAGAGCGTTGAAATACCCCCTGTGCACACCAAGCAGTACTGTTTCCAGAGTGTTCACCTCATTCCATTCCTTAGGGGCTGGTTGGTCTCCTCGTGCCTTCAGCAATTCTCTTGATGTCCCTGCTCAAAGGACTGGGCTGTGTGGGCTGTGCTGTCAGGTTGTTTTCCAGTACTTTTGTTTATACCACATCAGTTATGGGAAGATACTTAAAAGAATCAAGAATTGACAGAGCTGGTCCAAACTTACGCCAGAAGGTCTTGCTACTTCATCACTTCTCACCCTTACACCAGCTTGAGTATTTGCTGGACCCTCGCATGTGCCACTTCAGCTCACAAATCCAGCAGAAAACAATCTTCTACCATGTCTACTTCTGGGTTAATCTGAGCTGGGCCGGCTCTGAGGAGCGTCTGCTTAACACCAGAACTGAAAGGAAACGGCAGCGGCACAGTGCTGGCAGAGGTGGGATGGCAAGACTTCCTAGTTCCAGCAGTGGGTGTTGAACTGGGTCATCCCATCCAGTGTATCGACACCAAGGAACACCATTTCATAGAACTGGTGTGCTTCCACTGCCAAAGCACCCTTTCTGGGTAGATGCCTGTGCAGAAATACGGCGATTACTGGAGAGTGTCATTTGCAGTGTGGTAGCATGCAGCACCTTGGGCCAGACCCGTCACGTTGCTCTAGGCATTGCGCACTAACAAGTCAAAAGGCACGTTCTTGCCTTCTGCGAGCTCAGAGGAGCTTTTGGTGCCGTCAGCGGTGGGTGGCATCGCCTCAGTAGAAGCCCCTGAGTCATCTGCAGAAACCTCGAAGCCAGATAACCGTTGGAGCTGCGTGTCAGTGCCCTGTTTTCCAGACCAGCTCGTGAGCACGGGAAGAACAGGCGATGGGGTGCGTGCACCTGAAGCTGGCGCTGCCCGGCCGGGCGGGCTGGGTGACCTTCTCCTGCGCTGCAGAAGGTGCGCTGTAGCAAAGGGTTGCTGCTCAGCTGCTGGGGAGGGCTTGCACTGCGGGTGGCTAATTACACTATTAGGCTGCATAATTGGCTTAACATGGCATAAGAAATACCTTAGCTGTGGTGCCTGACAGAAAAGATGTTAAAATGTTAAAAACAAGACTTTTTTCTAGGATCCTGGTTTAGCAAATAAACGGACATTTTTGTGCAGCTGCCCAACTTCTGCTTTCACGTCAGCAGCTGCATGTTTGTGTCTGTGTACTGAGACCAGTGCTCTTTGCTGTCAGAACATAACGCTTCTTTTTAGAAAGGTCTTGAAAACATCCCTGGATGCTTCCTGGCTTGAGCCACTGATCCCTAAAGAAAAGCACCAGGCTGTGTCATGTCTGAGTGCTTTGATCCCACTGAGTAAGAGAGAGCGCTATTTTGGGATTTTTGAGGTTTTTCTCTGTGCCCCAGGTGGAAACGAGAGTCTGTTTGTTTCAGCGGCACCTCTCTGAAACAGATGAGCTGCAAAGGGTTACTTCAGCTCCAGAGTTGAAAGTTCTGCTCTTCCTACATTGATTTTTTTATCGCTGCAGGAGCTCTTCTGGCTCGAGTCCTTTAGCCAGAGTCCTGATTTAAAGAAATCACCACACTGGTACGGCAGGGAACTCAGGTTTGGGTGAAGTTCTGATTTCCAGTACAGTGTAGGCTGGTGAACAGAGTGTCTGTGGACAGTGACAGTACATGGTGGGAATTAGAGCTTGCAGTTGTGAGGCAGGTCTGCAGTGCTCGTTATTAGGGCTTGGGAAGGTCCTTGCATCCATGCCCATCATTTGGGATTATCATGTTTAACATGCTGCAGCGGTGGATTTCGAAATGAGCACCTGGTGCATTGTCCTCTGCTACTCGTGTTATGTACAGCGTGCGTGCTGGTGCACTGTGACTCGTTGACCCTTGGCAGATGGGAAGCCCTTGTGTTGGTTGCTTCAGTTTAGACAGCACTTGGAGTTCTGCTGTGGGTCACCACGAGTTGTGGAGCAAGCGGAGGTGTCCGTGTGGCCACCGCAGCACCTCCTGCGAGGCGATTCCTGCTCTCATTGTGTCTGCTGCCTCACGCTAACGTAAACTCAGGCCGTGGAGCCAGGCGAGGTGACAGCGCTAGGACATCTCTGTTCCTTCGTTCACCCCCGTGCCTGTCTAGTAGCTGCTCTGCCACGATGACCGATGCTAAATTTGGATCAGCGAGAACAGAAAGAGCACGAGAACCCTTCCTCCTGCTGCAGCTGGGCACCCGAGGACACAACGTCATTGCTCCAAAATGTGGATCCCGGAGAAGACACGAGGTGGCACACAACGCTGCCGCATCGCCTTACGTAAGCCGTCCCTCGGCAGCCGCAGGCTGGGCTCCACCTCTGGGAGACACACTGAGATGCTTCCAGCTCTTTCCCAGTGCTTAGTCTCCTGCCTGCCTCGCCTCTTGCGCTGGTGCTTTCCCTCTGGTTTCTCCGATTTTATGTTTTCAATGCTGCTAAAAACACGTTTCAGCCCTTTTTGAGTTCCCGAATTCTTATTAAACAAAGAGCGATGACTTTTTTTCACTCTGTTCTGATTTTTTACTTAATTTGCTCATTTTTTCCATCTTTAATTGTACCCAGCTTATCGTCTGTCAGAAGGAAGATGATTTATGTTCAGCGTGCCTGTTCCCTCGCTGAATGGTGCACAGGGAGAAAGAGTTTTTGGCAAAATGTAGAAACTCTTCCTGCATATTCATTTTTTTCAGGAATACGCTGCTGGTAGAAACATATGCAAAAGTTAATAAGAAGCAGATTTAATGTATAGTTTTCATAAGCTTTTACATTTGGCTGTTTTTTCTAGTATTACTCTTTTTTTTCATATGAAAAGACAAAATTTAATTTCAAGGTTTAAGTAATCAGCTCTCTTTGAATTAACTTCTTTTTTTCTCCTAGGAATTAATATAAGTTAGTCAAAAGGAATACTTAAGTTATTCTTTGTGAGGTATCCCATCTTCTTTCACGCTCAGTTTTGCGAAGCTTCAGGAAATTGTCATCTGCAAACCACTGTGTAATTGTTTGATTTGTAAGCACTTGAAGTCCAACTTCTCCACAGGAATTCCTCGTTAGAAATGAGTTTTCAGTCTGTTTAATCCTTGTGTTTAGGAGATCTTATGCACACCGTTAGTCAGTAATCATGTAAAAATATATTCAAGTAGTTGAACTTCAGATGATCTGAGATACTCTATGATCCAAGCTACAACTTCTGCAGCAGCAGAACCTGTCCCAGGTTTGCCATGTGATGGAATTCCTTCTGGATCCTTTCCCAGCAGTGCCATACGGCTGTTGTCTGCCTTGTCAGGGGATCCTGGATAGCCAGGTGCTACTGTCCAGGTAGGGAGGATGATGGAGCAGTGACTGCAGAAAGGCATTTGCGCTCTCTTGAGGAGGACTCTTCTTTTGGGAGATGCGCTCCCTGCGTTAGACAGCTTTATTCACTACAAAGTCATTGATTGGGTTTCGGGGTTTTATTTGCTTGTTTGGTCTTTCCACATTGAACACAGCTTGTAATTTTGTGAAGACCGTGGTGCTGAGTAACACCAGCGCTCTCTGGCAGGAGGACCTGCTGCTCGAGCTGTTCTCTCCGATCTTCAGCCGTGTCGAAGTGCGGGTCCGGAATCACTCCAGCTGAATGACCAGTTAGGAAAGTAAAACCACTTTTGCTTTCTCTTCCTCCTGCTCCACCTTTGTCTTTTGCTCTTGCTGTGAATCACTGTTGCCATCAGACGGATCAGGAGCCAGGGTGTCCTAGGTGGGACTCCAGGTCATGTTTTTTGTGGAGGGCTGCATTAAGAATTAATTGCAGTTAATTAACTGACGCTATCATCATCAGTCTTGCTAGAGAAGTGGAGAGCATGGAGCGTGTCCCGTATGTTGTGGAGGGTGGGTTATCCTGCTGCAGCCCCCCCCGTTTTGGGTCAAGTGGAAAACCCGAGGAGCTCTTGGGGAGGGGCTGTACTCTCCAAAGGCTGGGCAGCAGGATTCAACCCCGCTTGGCAATTCATTCCACATTCAGGGGCCTGGGTTTAGGGGGGATCAGGTTCAGTACCTTTAATGAGCCCAAAACAAACATGTGGAAATCTAACCCTCAATAACCCCAATTAAATTGATGTCACATGGCTTATTAATCTTCATTTTCACAATTAATAAAATAACCCAAAGCGTTTCTTGCCATGGGAAATACATTTGAAAAATTGATCACAGCACGTTAGAGCCAGGAGCCAAAAAGGTTCAGACTGCTCCTGTCTTCAACAGTAAATTAACACGAGCGCTGACAGTTCTGGGAACTGGGAGGCTAACAAGCCCTTTTGTGCCTTTTTTTTTTGTTTGCTCCAGGAGCAGAGCAACAGTAACCTCAGGCCTCGATGAATTTTTGTTCCCGCAGAGCATGTTCATCTTTAAAATTGCATAAAAGTCTCCTCTTGTGAGCAGGTCCAACTGACAGTGAATTATTCAGGGGTTTTGAGGACGTGGACTTGTTACTTGGTCTGAAACAGAAGCATTGAAAGGCAAACAAGGAGCCCATGTAGGTGAGGACAGATAGCCCATCTGGACTTGCATGGCACGTTTGCTGTCTCTGATTCCCAACCAGAACAAGTCTTCTCGGGTCACTGTGCATTAGTGGGACCTGGTCTGCTCTCCTAGTGTGGACATGCAGCTGCTTGTCTCACAGTCAGAGTCTGAGTGAGTCCTTTTGCACAGGACTGGCAAAATGATAGAACAAGGAATGCAGTGGCCAGATTGTGTAGAATATGAGAAAAAACAGACATGTGGCAGGTTTGTCTGGTGTGGTCCCAAAACAGCCATGCTTGTGCCTCTGAAGAGCATGTGTAAAGCCATAGAAAGCATTCATACATTATGTAGTATTTTTGAAGTGTGGAGGATGCTTAGACACCTCCACCCTGGAAATTACTGAGAGCTTGCTAGCAGCATTTTCATGTATGCTGTTTTTCCACCCACCTCTTTTCACGGAAGAAGATATGAATATGAAAGCTCAGCAGAGCTGGTTTATGCAGCCTGTGTAAAACCGGTATCAGACCATCCTTATTTCCCCGGTGTCACGGCACGCAGCACAGATCTTGGCCCACGTGTCTGGTTGGCGATGAGGAAGGTGACACGAAGCACACGTGCCACAGCTCTCCTTGCTGCTGTGCTGGGGTAAGAGCCTGTGTCGTGCTGTCCCCAAATAACCATTGTGTCTTTCTACTAAAAATAACTTGTTCTTATGCCCTTCACGTAATGTAGGTGAGCACGGCATAGGAGCAGGTGCAGAAGCAGCCTGCATGTGTGTTACTCTCCAGACTAGCTGAGCTGGAGGGAAGGATGACACTCTCTCTACTTCAGTTATGTAGCATGTTTTCCCTCCAGCTCTTAAAATTCGTGTGTTTCTGCAGGAGAAACAGGTGGTAGTCGCAGCCCTCTCTCCCTCTGGAGCTGGATACTTGCCCGGAACAAAGCAGGTTGTTTCCAAAACGGGCAGTTTTGGTAGTACAAAGTACAATAAATCTTCATATACCCTGATATTGGATAGAGTGTCCTGCGCTTTGTTGGGTCCAGCTTTAAGTACTCTTTGAGCTTCATATTCTGTCTCCTAAACTGACTCCTGTACTTCATACAGGATCTTTGTTCCTTAATCTTCAGTGTACGATCGTCTTATCCTGCCTGAGTCCATCCAGTTGCCTTGATGGTGGGGCCCAGCATCCTCTATGGCTCATAGGATCAGAGGCTCCGAGGTCGTTGGGTTCTGTTCTCGTGTGGCGTTGGTGATTTCGGTGCTCCCCTGGGCAGTCAGAGGGCTCAGCTGCGCCAGGAGAGCGAGCAGCGCTGGCATCAGTGTCTTGGATGCTGGATGTGACGGTGACCAAGCTTGCAGGCCTTCCAGCCAGGGTCGCTGTTGCTATAAACAGGAGCAGGGGAGCATGTGGATCAGCTGGGGTTAATCTCTTTTCACAGTTGAGAGGCAGGAATTGTTAACCCTGCGCAGGGCTTGGGAGGAATGAGGACCGCAAAGCAGAGCCATTCAGCCCTGCTGCCTTCGGCTCGCTGCGAGCCCGGAATCCAGGCTCGGAGGGGAGGGATGACAGAATTCCGCACTCAGTGCTTCTGGCGTGGATCTGCGGAGCCGCACGTGCGGTGCAGGCAGATCTCCTGCACGGCTTTCCAGGCCAGAGCGATTCACGTGGCTTTGTGGATTCAGGGCATTCGCGTTGCTGGGCAAGGGCTGAGTTGCAGGTGCCCTGGGTTTGTCCTGCCCTCGCCGTGGGTGCCCTGCTTAGTCTGCCAGGAGGGGTGCTGAATGGCATGGATGGTGACCCCCTCGGCGAGGAAGGAGTGCCGTGGGATCGCTCGGCCCTGCAGCGTGGTGACACACATGCACCGAGAATACACCCCGCCGCATTCATGCGGGGTGTGTGATGCGGTGTGCACCTCCCAGACCAACGTGATGCAGTCTCCACCGAGCTCGGCGTGACAGTTGAGCTCCGTTGTGTTTTCTCTTTGGTGCGTGACAAATCCATTCATCTTTTTCAGTGGAGCGGGTTGTCGCACTGCTCACCCTGTCCCCTGAGAGGGAGGGTGCTGGAATGGATGCTCTGTCGCATGCTCCGATCTCAGCTCTGCCAGGAGCTTGTTTTGTTGTAGCCAGTCTGCTGGGTGGAATAAGCACGTCAGCCTTGCCCCAGAGCCTGGTGGCAGCATCAAGAGGCTACCAAAGCGTGGCACTAGTTTAGATGCCCTGACAGCAGTCTCGGGGGACAGGCAGGGGATGGCTGGAGGACAGCCAGGCTCCTTTTCTGCTCCTCCCAGGCAGCGTTGTGTTTGCAGCCTTTAATCCGGTCTTGTGGAATGAGTGAGGCCAGTCTTTCCTGGCCGTTCTCGTGTGGTGAACTTGGAGCAAGAACACTTGTTTCCCAGCCCTTGAAGACATGACTATTTCCTTTGTACTGTTGAATTTCTTCCCATTTCTGTTACTCGGGATCATCCAGTTCTTTCTGTATCTTGTCCCTGCCCTCTTCTCTGTCGATGCTGCCTCCCAACTTGCAGCCTCATGGGCATTTCTCTGCGCCGTGCCATTGAAGTGCTGAAATATATCTCAAGGCTAATCCTTGAGGAGCTCTACCAAAGATTTCTCTCCTAGCTAATTCTGCTTTTTAGTGCTACCCTTTGTCTCCACTTCAGCCAGTTCCTTAGTTAGGAAGGACTCCTGGTTTTCCAATTCAAGTAACAGCTTCCTGGGGGTGGTGTTCTGTAGGGCTCCAGACACTGCTGATCACAAAGGATGTTAGTTTGTTCCTTAAAAGTATATTGGGTTACTCCTTAAAATAGGAAATGATATCTCAAGGGGATTTAGAGTCTTTTAGTCCCTACTGTTTGCTTTCTGCTTAGCAGTCATTCCAGCGAAGGTGTCTGGCTGGCTCAGGTCCCTGAAGGACGAGGTTGTGCTCTGTATGGGAGAGGAGTCTGTTTTGACATACTCCTTGCCTGGAGCACATCCGAGTCTGTCTGTCTTGCAGAAGCAGTTGAACCCAGAGCCTCTGTGCACGAGTTCATTAGGCTTAATGAAATGAGAGGCAAGACCGTGACATTTGCTAGATTTTGTACATGATACTTCACTTTGAGTGTCCTCTTTACATCTCTCAGATGTGCTGCATGTAGCAGATCTTATTTTGAGACCATTTCATAGCAAGAGCCTGTCCTGTTAGTGTTTCTTTGCTTACAGCTTGGGAAAAGACAGCTAATGGGCTGCAGAAGGAGGCTGCAGCAGGCTCAGGCTTGGTTTGCTTTTTGGAAAGGATAGAGTATTTCGACCTCTGTAGCAGTACAGGCTTTAACACTCCTCTTCTAGTCCAGAATCCAGCCAGGACCACAGCTTGCTTCAGAGCTTCTGCTGCTTGGCTTCACTGCCTCCCACGCAGAGGGGGAGTGCGTGCAGGGGGCGAGACTGTCTGTGTATCTGCACATGGTGAGAAGGATAATTGCAGTCGGTCCTCTGTGAGCCCTCTGGATAGCTCTTTTCTTTTGACGATGAAGGATTCTCCTCTCAAATCCATTCTTGGCTGAAAGAAGAGGTTTTTATAGCATTTGAGTTTTCTTGAACACTCTGATCTCTTCTGCAGAATCTAAGAATGTGCCATTCCTGTAGCACTTACTCCCTTAGAGACACATGTCCAAGAACTGACTTACGGTTGTGTTTCAAGCCCTGGCATATTGTTATAGTCTGTCTATCCAGGTTGTTCCCAGCAGCATTGCAAAGGGATCATCCTGCAGTACAAAGCAGGTTGGGGTTCTCCACACCTCGACACAGATCGGGTGGGTTTAGCTCACATGGGTGAACCAGATTTGTTGTGGCCCAGGGAGTTGCATCGTCAACCAAAAGCAGACCAGTACCCTCCCAGCTCAGCACATAGCCAAAGCAGCCCAGCATCGTGCTCGGAGCTCTGTTGAACATGTTCTCTCCGTTCCTTATATTTGCCATTCGTCTTCCCTGCAGCTTCCTTGAAATGATGGAAGCCCGAAGTCGAGGACACACGTCGCCACTAACAACTAACGGGCAAAGCCCTTCCTCTGGCTCCCAGTCACCCGTAGTACCTCCAAGCTCCACATCGACGGGCAGCTCCAGCCCTGGCACCCCACAGCCGCCGCAGCCTCTTTCTACAAGCTCCACCATCTCTCCTGAACCCCCCCCATCTTTTTCACCAGTGCCTGCACCCGAAGCCCACCAGCCTCCGCCAGCTACAGCCTCCCCAGCACCTCCGGCTGCAGTCCCGCCACCGAGGCGCAGCATTATTTCACGTCTGTTTGGGACGTCTCCTGCGTCAGACCCCTCTCCTCCCCAGCCAGGTAGGTGCTGGAGTGCATTGTCTAGGCAGGGCGTCACCCATGGGCATTTCTCTGTTTTCCTTTCATTTTTTCCCTGCGAGAGGTGGAGCAGACAGGTATCTGAAGACCACAGGCCCCAGGCATGTATCCAAGGAGAGCTGCGCTGTGACTCTACTTTTCTCTTGATTGGAGTTCTGTTTTGTCTCTGAGCTGGGCTTAGATGGGGACAGTGTGCAGTCAGCTGGGGGGTGCCTGTAGCGTGCTTCAGGAGGAAGGTACTGAACACGCAGGGCACACTAATAAAATAACTGTCAGCTTCTTACCAGGAGCACATAAGCCTCTTGAATAGCAAGAAAAATTGTTAGAGACGCTATTTTGTGTTCACAAAAGTCTGGCAGCTCAAAGGGCCTCCTGTGTGTTAACGGAGAACAGCGGAGTGCTGGTTTTAAAGGTTATTCAGCCAGAAATGATCACGTAAGTCCAGGCTCTGCAGCGGATTCCCCTCCGGGGAAATGCGCTCCTTCAGAGGTGGTCCGAGGAGGAGGGCAGCCCGCCCTGGCTGCTCCCTTAGTGCTGGTACACAATGGAGCAGAGCAGCGCAGCGTTCGGTCCCGACCGCTGCCGGACGAAGTTGCCGGGCGGAGGCATCGAGGGTTTTGTTGCATGTGCTTTTGCTGATGTGGACCTTAATTCGCCTGTCACATCCACTTTGTTTGCGAAGCTAACTGGAGCTGCAGAGCTGGCGCTGCCTAAAAATCGTTAGCGTGACATGGTTTGAATCACCCTTTGGAAATACCTTCCCTCTCAAACTGTCAATCCCTAGAGCTCGCAGTACTCTCGAGACACCCACAGAAAGAAAGGAGGAGGTGCTGGAAACACAGTTTGCAGTCTCAGATGTTGAAATCTTTCAGTTTTAGACCTGCACACAATGCTCTGCATCCTGGATCAGTTACCAGGTATGACACACTACACCCATTTCTGTTTGTTGATGACTCTTCCTACCCAGAAACAAACAAACAAAGAGGAGCAAATATTAGAAATCCCTTGTCAATAAAAAAATCTTTGTCATACTGATATGTAGAAAAAAGCCACGTGGTCTGCTACTACTGTTACAATCTTTGTGTTTGGGTTTTTTAATTTTTCTTTTTTTTTTCTTTAAATCTATCACTTAGCACAAGAATTGTTTTAGCCTTGTAGCCTGCAGTCCTGGTATCTCAAGGGTGCTTTTGAGGGGGGGTCGCAAAAGGCAGCTAGGAAAAGCTGATCTGTCAGTAGTACTAGGTTTATGCAGCGTGCCAAGGGTCTGCACCTCTGCTGGAACATACCTAGGGACTAGCTAATTGGAAAGCAGTTGAAAAATCACTGTTGCAGAGTAACACTTGTTTTTTATGGGAGCTGCTATTTAGGTTTTCCCTTGAAGTCTTGCAGTAGTAATTCTTTTGGCTGTGTTTTTTCTTACACCAACGCTACTCTGTCGCATTAGTAATAGTGTTATTCGTATGCAAAAGTGATCCGAGAGCTGTACTCCTAGAGCAAAATCTAGAAAAAAAAAATAGATTAATTTTGTTCACCCAAAAGAAAAGGGCCTAGATGCGAAGTGAGTCCAGACAGAAGAAAAAGGTTGAATGTTGCAAATTCTGAAAATATTGTTATTGCTTTAGGCTTCCTGATTATGCTAATGTCATGAGTTTTCATCCTGATACCTTGAAGATGGGTAAAGGTATCTCTGCAAATAATCTGTATTAGAGCAAGTCTCTGTCTGCAGTAGCTTTTGAGCGTTTGGTTCCACGGGGCATCTGAAAGCACAGTGTGAACAATTCTGCCTTTGACAGTTACAGTTGAAGAGGGAGGAGCGTGGGTGAGCTGAGCAGTCTGGGAAAGGTAAGGGAGCAATGAAGGGACATCACACAGCACAGGTGTAAGATCTGGCTGTGGTATAGTCGGTTGTAGCATTCCCTGCAGAGCAGTCGGCTGCCATGGGAGAGAGCTTTTCCGACCAAGAGCCTGGTGCAACGTAAACCGCAGCGGCCGTGGGTGGTCTGTGAATGCCTTCGTGCAAGATTCTGGACTGGTTGGAGTATCCTGTTCATACCCTTCCTCCTCCCTTCCTGTGTAGCTGAGGTCCTGCTTTGTGGCTGCTGTCTGTGGGCAGGATGCGTCTGTCAAAAGCAGATTCCTGTCTCGCTCGTGGTGAGCGTTGTGTTTTACAACTGCTGTTGCTAATGCAGATGCTGCTGCTGCCACTCCTCCTCCCCACCCTGAGGCCCCTGCAAAAGTACAGAGCGTGGAGGACTTTGTTCCTGATGACAGCCTGGACCACAGCTTTCTAGAGGACCCAGCCCCGCAGAAGGACAAAGGGAAACCGCAGACTAAACACCGTGTCGATAGTGAAAGGTAAGGAGAGGAGGATGGAGGGAGGCTGAGCCAGGGATGTGTCTGGATGTGCCGTCTGAGTGATGAGTCAGGCTGGGCTAGCCTGTTGCAACTCTTCAGAAAGGGATTCCAGAGCAGTCAGCTGCCCCTAAGCCTTTCTGGCTGTGGTACAGTCAGTCGTAGCATTCACTGTCCTGTTTAATGATACGCACGGCTCCCCCGGCGTGAGGAGCAGCAGTCAAAGCTGGTCCCTGCCTTCCTGCTCTTGCCATCTTGCCTTCATGCTCAGTGTTAAACCACTGGGTTGCTTTGGATCAGGAAGGGATTTCCCTTCTGGCCAAACGTGCTGAAACATTGGAGGTACTTTCCTTCTGGAAAACAGTGCACTTTGCAGGGTTGTTATGCTTTGCCTAATTAATACTTTCCTGCTGCAGAGGCCCAAAGCATGGCCAGGCTTCTTCGTGGCCTGGTACTGCCATTCCTGAGGCATTATAAAGGGGTTTGTGTTTGTTGGAGGACACTTGGAGGGCACTCCATGGCTTGATGGGATTCTGGAAGGAAGGATGGAGAGGGTCATGCTTCCTTGGCAATGTCACTGCCTAGCGTGCTTGCTTGCAGATTCTAGAAAAATCTTAGAGGATACCTTTCTTTTTCTCTGTCCATTTCTAATGTTCCTTCCCAGTGTTTTCTTTCTAAATTGGAGAGAGATGGATTTGATGGATGGACTGTTCAGTGGATAAAGAATTGGCTGGATGGTCACACTCAAAGAGTTGCGGTCAACAGCTCCATGTATGGATGGAGATCCGTGACGATTGGTGTCCCTTAGGGGTCCATACTGGGACCAGTACTGTCTAATATCTTCATCAGTGGTGTGGATGGTGGGATCGAGTGCACCCTCAGCAGATTTGCAGGTGACACTCAGCTGAGTGGTGCAATTGACACCTTGATTGATCCTCCTGAGGGACAGGATACCATCCAGAGGGACCTGGGCAAGCTGGGGAAGTGAGCCCATGAGAACCTTGTGAGATTCAACAAGGCCAAGTGCAAGGTCCTGCACCTGGGTCGGGGCAATCCCTGGTGTCAATACAGGCTGGAAGATGAAAGAATTGAGAGCAGCCCTGCGGAGAAGGACTTGG